GGTACCAGCAGGCCCCCCTCGCCCCACCCTGGCAGGCCCCCGCCTCCAGGCAGGCCCACGCCAGCCGCCCTGGTGAAACACCTGTCACTGCGGGCAGCCAGGCCCAGCACTCGACACCACACACCAAACGAGTGCCAGTTTGTAAAGGTCAGGGTCCCCTGGACGGAAATTCCGTGGCTGTCACACCAAATGCCCGGACCATCTCGCCTTCACACGCCCAGCAAGCTGCCACTCCGGGCAGGGCCGTGTCCTCCCACACTCCCAGGAGAGGCGCTGGCAGGGGACAGCCACGTATTCACGACGGAGACCTCCATTCAGTGCGCCTGTGGTTCTGGGGCTGGTTCTCATCTCCATTTCTCAGGGCCCTCCAGCTGTTCTTGGGACCCCGTGACAAGTTCTGACATCACAGGGTGTCCTGAGGGCCGACACAACACCAGGACACAGGATGCCACAGCAGACACCACCTTTACGCTGGCGCCCCATGTGTTCTCCTCTCACTGGAAACCCTCCCTGAGTTCCCACCGTACCCTGTAATCTACATTCACAACGGGAACACGATTTCACAGTGACTCCCAGGATAACTTAAGGCCTTTTTTAATCTAAGGGTCAGCTCTGGCTACAGGCCCTATAGAACAGCTTCAGAGACAAAGCTGATTTCAAACACTGTGTTGCCCGCAGGAGTACCTGAGATACTGCCCCTCAAACCTCCACGGCTTGGACCCGTTCAGTCCTGAAGATGACGTGAGGAACGAAAATCTCTCTGCTTCGTCACAAGCCACACAGAGCCGTTCATGGGTGACATCCCACCACACACTCAGTTACAATCACAGCGTCGGGACAGTCCAGCGCACCCACTGATGGCCACGCAGACATTCCTCCACAGCCTCATTATCACAAAGGGGAAGAACTACTGGGACCAGCAGTTAGCGTAATGGCTATGTCGCTGGACTCCCACGTAGTCGACCGCGGTTCGCGTCCCGGACCTGGTGGCTTAAAACTCACGCCGGGCACGTGTGCGTGCGTGCCCAAGATCCCAAGAGGAGAACCGAGGAGAAAGGATTGCAGTACGGCCTTCCTCCTGTGGGGTGATTTCCCACTTTCTATCTCTCTATCTCTCTCTGTCTGGCAAGTGCATGTACCCTATAGCAAAAACCTCTCCATTTGCCAAATCCTTTTTCTTTTTCTTTTTTTGGAGAGGTTTTTGCTATAGGGCGCGTGCGCTCACCAGAAAGACAGAGAGAGAAAGCGAGAAATCACCCCCCGGGGGGGGTGGCCATGCTGCAATCCCTTCTCCTCCATCCTCCTCTCGGGATTTTGGGCACACATGCACACGCGCCTGGTGTGAGTTTAAGCCGCCAGATCCAGGACTCGAACAGTGATCAACTACATGGGAGTCCAGCGACACAGCCATTATGCTAACTGCTGGTCCCACCAAATCCTTTTTCTAACACTGGGCAATTAGGCTGTTTCTACTTTTCTGATAAAAACAACGCAAGCAACATTTCAGTTGTATTTATCTCTCCTGGATCATGAACTATTAAACCAATGAATGGAAGAGCCATCATGGGGCCAGCAGGTGGCATGGTGGTTAAGGGGCTGGATTTCCCCATGGCTGCCGGCAGCTCGAGCCCCAGACCCAGCACTTGCAGATCTTGCCAGGCGTGCATGCATACCCCAAATCCCAAGAGGAGAATGGAGGAAAAGGGACTATGGTGCAGCCGTCCCCACTGGGGAATGAGCCCTCACCTTCCCTCCCTCTGTCTCTCCCCAGCGAAGCGCATGCACCCTATGGCAAAAACCTTTTAAAAAAAGAAAAAAAATCATTAAGCCCGTGACTGTACCTGGGTCAAATTTAAAGCATGGCCGAGTCGGCAACGCCAAGCCCGGCTCTGCCCTCCATTGCCACCACGTTAGTTCAACTCAAACTCCATTCTCCAGTTTCTAAAATAAGAATAAAACCACCTGCCCTGGTAGTAAATCTGCTGAAGGTCAAACTGGCAGGCGTGCGGAAGAGGTGAAGCAAAAGAAACCTTCGATGTCACGACCGGTAGAGACGCTATCTGGGGACCTCGACTCATGCCCACTGACTCATCCAGCTATTAAAAACCCGGGGGCCCTCTCTGTGGTAAATGTGAAGTGATACTGAGATTTTAAAAACGAAAAAGCAACAGGCTCTGCCCCGGAGGGCTTCCTGGAAGAGCAGGGAAGAGGCCGTGTGAGACACGAAGTGCGAAAGCAGGGGAGGAGGCCATGAGCCAGGGGAGCTGAAGCACGGCTTGCCTGGGAACCTGGAGGGCTTCCAGAGGAGGTGGTAACTGACCTGGGTCTTGAAGGATGAGATGAGCGGGATAATCAGAACAGGATAAAAGCTTACGAGGCCGAGACCGCTTGTAAAAGAGGAAGGCGTGTTCGGGGAATGAGGAGAAGCTTGTGAGGTCAGAGTTCACAGGACGGCGTGGGACCTCTGTCCCTGGAGAGAGACGCTGGACCCGGGATGAATGCCAAGTTAGGGAGCCTGAGCTTTACCCTGTAAACAAGACTTGGTCCAGCTCACCCAGGGACCAGGGAAATAATGATCAGTTTTGTTAAAAAGAGATATCACAGTGGAACTCGCAGGTGGCATGGTGGTTAAGACACTGGACTCCCACATGGCCAACTGTGATTCGAGTCCCGGACTTGGCAGCTTGCACGGGCTCACTCGCTCACTCACTAGCTCTCTCTCTCTCCAGTCATATTTGAATTTCAATAAATAAATACATTTAAATAAGACTTGAAAAAAATAAAAGACATCCCAGGGGGCCAGCAGGTGGTATGGTGGTTAAGGTGTTGGACTCCCACATAGCCAACTGTGGTTCAAGTCCTAGACCTGGTGGCTTGAAAAAATCACACCCGGGCATGTGTGTGTGCATGCCCAAAATCCCAGCAGGGGAACAGAGAAGGGACTACAGATCGGTCATGCCCCTGGGGAGTGAGTTCTCACTTTTCCTCTCTCTGTCTTTCTCCAGCAAGTGCATGTGCCTATCGCAAAATAATAATAACAATAATAATAATAATAATAATAATAAAAGGAAGACATCCTGGCCAGCTTCTGGCATGGTGGTTCAGGGGGCTAGATCCCACATGATGGCAGATGACATGGTTCAGGTCCTGGATCAGCGGCTTGAGAGACACGCCTAGTATGTGTGCATGTGTGTCCAACATTCTGAGAGGAAGAAACAAAAGGATTATGGTGAGACCATTCCCCTGGGGGTGCCTTCTCATTGCCCCACTTTCTGTCTCTGCTGAGTGTACATGCCCTTGGTAAAAATTTTTAATTAAAAAAAAAAAGAAAAAAGACATCCTAGCAGAATGACATGCAGACTGTAAGAGACAGAAAATACCTGGGACGTTGTCTGGGCGACAAATGATGCCAAGATGATAAAAACAGCAGAGACGCCTCAGAGCCTCAGTCAGACCTACTGTCACTATGAAAGTGATTTCTCATCGGCTGGGGATTCTCTTCATGAAGGTCAAAATGAATGAATGAAAAGGATCAGATGAAAAGATGTAAAAAGGAAAAAGCAAGCTTAACTCCTTACGTTTCCCCACCGTCTTAGTCCATTCGGGCTGGGTAATTTATAAACAGAAACTGCCACAGTTCTGGAGGCTTGGAAGTCCAAAAGGCACCGGGAGATCTGGTGTGTGATGAGGGCCAGTTTCTCACGATGTGAGAATTTCTGTGTGTTCGCTGCCCATGGCAGAAGGGACAAACAAACTCCCTTGGGTCTCTTTAATGAGGGCAAAACATCTTCATGACCATCTTAACATTATGGCATTGGGGTCAGATTTCAACATCTGAGTTTTGGGGAGATACAATCATTCAAACCACACCTACTTTCTTCCTAATAGCAGATATGTTAGTGTAGAAAAGAGAACGAAAATATATACATTCCTCTTCACTGAACTCAGAGACAACTACCAGAGGGGGGAAAAAAACAAAACCCAAAACAAAACAAACAAGCAGAAAAAAAACGGAGCCAGCAAGAATTTGCACAGAAAATGAATCATATACAAATATTCTCATTTTCTGCAGAAGGTAAGCCATTTAACCTAACTAAACTGAGCAGGAAAAGACAAAAATCAGATACCAATGAATAATATACACAAATAAAAAGGACCAAAATGAGCCCATACTATAAAAAATGACACATGCTTAATTCTTATTTGTTGGTACCCTAGTTAATCTCACAAGATGAATGCATTTTTTGTTATTCCAAAAATCAAAATGTGATATTAAACTTAAGATTCATATGAAGGGAACCAGCAGTTAGCATAATGGCTATGTCACTGGACTCCCACGTAGTCGACCGCGGTTCGCGTCCCAGACTGGGTGGCTTAAAACTCACGCCGGGCACGTGTGCATGCGTGCCCAAGATCCCGAGAGGAGAATGGAGGAGAAGGGATTGCAGTGTGGCCATCCCCCCTGGGGGGTGATTTCTCGCTTTCTATCTCTCTGTCTCTCTCTGTCTTTCTGGCGAGTACATGTGCTCTATAGCAAAAACCTCTCCAAAAAAAGAAAAAAAAAATCTAAAGATTCATATGAAGAGGGTAGAACCAGGGACAAACAAATTCATTGTTGGACTCCCATGTAGTTGACCGCAGTTCAAATCCCGGACCCGGCAGCTGGAAACTCAAGCTCAGGGCATGTGCATTCATGCCCAAGATCCCAAGAGGAAAATAAAGGAGAAGGAACTGCAGTATGGCCATCCCCTGGGGTGGGGGGCATTCTTCCTTTCTGTCTGTCTCTCTGTGTTTCTGGTGAGCGCGCACTGCCTATACCAAAAAAATCTCTCTTTAAAAAAAAAAAGGTAGAACCAAGCATACTCTGTGATGTTACAAATATGAACTCTAGTTTTCCCTTAGTAATAAAATAAGAGGAAATAAAATGAAGTTTTGTTCAACCATTTTGTCTAAATGCATGCTGTTTAGTAAAAGAGGACAGGGCAGCCCCCATAGTGCTTTCGGAGCTGGATCCCTCATGGCTGACTGCAATACGAATCCCTGCCCTAGTGGTTTGAAAGATGCGCTGGGCACATGTGCACACGTGCCCCAAATCCTGATGGGATGGAGGAACAGGGAAAAGGGGACTGCAGTGTGACCACACTCCACCAGGGTGCTTTCTGTCTCTCTCTAACTGCCATGTGCCCTCAGGCAACACAAGTCAAGTACATATAAATATTTCTTTACAGGAGCTTTAATAGGCTATGTTCTATGATTCTGTGTTAAACCCCGAAACGAGTGCATTTGTTCATTTAATTCTTCCAACAAAAGGCACTTGCTCAGGAGAAAGAACACCAGACAGGCCAGCCCCAAGGTCTGGTGATCAAGGGAGCCAGACCCCACGTAGCTGGGCACAGTTCCAATCTGGCCTCAGTAGCTTGAAAAGCACACAAGGTGTGTGTATGTGTGCCCAAAAATCCTAAGAGAACGGCAAGATGGAGGAGGGACTGAGGCGTGACCACGCCCCCCGGTGGCTGCTTCCTGCTCCTCTTCTCTATCTCTCTCTGCAGAGCACACGGGCCCGCTATGCTTACGGGAAAGGCAGGGCAGGACACGAACTTGGCATCGCCAGACTAAAATATGCACTTGGCTTTTGACCTCCTGCAATTCATTTGTCCTCCAGCTTACATATCCTTGGAAAACCATCCCTAATTTTTGTGTTTCTTTTGAGCATTATTTAAACTGGATCGTTTTCATAGCTGTCTACACCTGTGAATTCCTAAAAAGAATACGACAATGCGCTGAGGTAACTGAAAGCAAGCTGCAAGGACACGAGAGCCGAGGTGTTCTGACACGTGACGTCTGGCTGCTGCTTTAGGAAGCAGTTTTACAGAAGTATGGGGAGAGGCCAGTGACAGTCCCCCACCTACAAACGTCAGTGCTGGTTAACCCCAGTGACAAGAGCCAGCTGGCCTTCATCAACACTCCTCCAGTGAATGCCAAGTGCGTCCTTGGGCAACTGAGCCGGAAGGTTTCAGATACCCACTCAGTATCATCCCGAGCTCCCCCTTAATGATCTACTTAACATAGTCTATCCTGGCAACCTCTAACACCTCCTTGAAACGGAGTACTTCTGGGCCTTACACGCTTACTTGGTGAGGACTGTCCACTTATCCCTGGGTGTGTATGAATAATAAATTTCATTCATTCATGCCAACGCACATTAATTGAGCATCCACAAAGCATCAGTCAAGAACAGGATACAGGGAACCAGCAGTTAGCGTAATGGCTATGTCACTGGACTCCCATGTAGTCGACCGTGGTTTGCGTCTCGGACCCGGTGGCTTAAAACTCACGCCGGGCACGTGTGCGTGCGTGCCCAAGATGCCGAGAGGAGAATGGAGGAGAAGGGATTGTGGCGTGACCATCCTTCCTGGGGGGTGATTTCTCGCTTTCTGTCTCTCTGTCTTTCTCTGTCTGTCTGGAGAGCGCATGCGCCCTATAGCAAAAACCTCTCCAAAAAAAAACAGGATGCAGAAGCCTGTACTGCAGAGCTGATATTCAAAAGGGGGACGGGCCATAAATGATGCTCCTTCTGCTCCCCGAGGCCCTTCGTGGGCTGGAGAAGCAGAACACCTGGTACCTTCTGCAACGATCTGACAACGCACATTTCTGTCAGGGTTTGGAAGATAGCTTCATAGCCATCTTCTTTTTGGTTTTTTGAGGGTTTTTTTTTTTTGAGAAATATTTTATTTAACTTTATTTATTTACTTACTTTAATTTGACCAGAGAGGGACAGAGTAAGAGATAGAGAGTGAGAAAGTAAGCCTCCAGGTCTGGGGCTCAAACAGTGGTCGGCCATGTGGGAGTCCAGTGCCCTTAACCACCACGCTACCTGCCAGTCCCCAGCCTGTAACTTTTTTTTTTTTTTTGAGAGTTTTTTTTCCCTATAGGGCGTGTGCGCTCACCAGAAAGACAGAAAGAGACAGAGAGACAGAAAGCAAGAAATCACCCCCCAGGGAGATGGCCATGCCGCAATCCCTTCTCCTCCATTCTCCTCTCAGGATCTTGGGCACGCACGCACACGTGCCCGGCGTGAGTTTAAGCCACCGGGTCCGGGACTAAAACTGCAATCAGCTACATGGGAGTCCAGCGACATAGCCATTACACTAACTGCTGGTCCCCTACAACCTGTAACTTTTTAACCCACTCACAGAAAGAACATAAACACAATACGGCCCTACTGTCTAGTTTAAATACTTTTCAATTACGTCTCAGTCTCAATCTTCTATTTCATGATTCAACTGACATATATTAATTTTATTATTTCTCTCAACTTCAAATTTTAATCACAAACAAAGTAACTTCTCTTCATATGGAACTAAGTAGACAAACTAAGGAAAGGAACAGAAATTTTATTTCTGTTTTTATTTATTCTTGCCTAAGCCTTCTCATTCTTTTGCTTTCCATCAAATACACTTCCGCTCTATCTTAAAGAAGCAGAGTGTAGACCATGGCGAGGACCTTCAAGGGGACCTGACCTCTTGAACCCTCCTCCCTTCCGGCCCACTTGATGTATTCAATTTTTTTTTCTTTTTTGAGAGGTTTCTGCCAT